GGGAAAAACTATGTGGGCGTTAGATGGAAAAAACTAGATGGGGCAATATGGGAAAAATTATGTGGGGGCTTATCTTCGTTAACATACATACATCTTGTTCTGTTTGATTCAATATTGGATTAATCAGCTATTACTGCAATTTATCTAATTGCGATTTATGTCTTACCATCGCTAATTGGTCTGCATTTCTGCACCTTTGGTGCGTAAGTCATGCAGTAATGAAATTTCTTGAAATATCTGAAAAATTTATAATTTTATGTATTAATGATTTTAATTAAATTTGTATCATCAAATTACAGGAAATTTAAAATAAGAAATAATTAATGAATGTAAAGATTATAAATTGTATATTTTCAATTTTATTTTCTATTTTTTAAGTTTAAAATGCTAAAGGAAATATAATTTATTGGATTATATAAGGATTAAATACAGATAGATGTGTAATATAGGTAAATATTCAAAATTAAATATAAATGTTTTATGAAATTAATGTCATATATAAATAAAATTATCTACTTGTTAACAATCTCAATTTTAATTTAGTTTGCTGTCTTTTTTGAAAAAATATAAAAATACTAAATACACTAGAAAATAAAATTATTCCACACATTATAAGGAGAACGTACACGAAATCTAGTCTTGGAAATACATCAAACATGTTTTTATCCATATTGTCCATATTTATGTCCTCGACACTTCTGAAATTCAACATTCCATAATATAAAACTTAGTTATACATTCATTCACTATATTAACTGGTAAGTTTATAAAATAGAAAAGATAACGTTATAAAATTAATATAAAAAAAATTTACGCTGCTATTAGATTTCATTATTATCATCAAGCAGAAAAGAAAATTACTCATGTTTTACATAAAGTTACGATGCAACTTACAGTGAGCGAAGATTTCTTAATGGATTAAAGAGCGTCATTGGTAACTCGGCAACAGGATTGTAACCGATTAATCTGGAAGGATAAGATTATATCATGCGCGTTGCTAGAGTAATAAGTCTTATTTTCAAGTAGATTTCGATTTACACATGTAATTTTAAAATGCAATTAAAACCGGTTGCGCCCGTAAGTACGTGACGTTTTCGTAGTTCACTTTCGCGAGCAGATCTTTAAGCATTAAGCATTAAGTATCAGCGAGCGGACTTGAAGCACGTAATTTAAATATTTAAGATTGATTATCACGGATTGGTATCACGACACGAATATTTATACTTACAATTTCGATAGATTATTCACGGGTCGGAACACGTTTGACGGTATCGTGACTATCCTATTGTACGCCAAGTTCCTGAAATAAGGCTGTATTTTAATGTTGTGTGATTGTCGATATCTGATCTATAGTCAATCTATTATCCGCGGTAAAGTTTGTCATTAATAACATTCGAGATAAAAAGCAGTTTCCAACTTCTAACTGTCTAATCTGCCTCGTCGACTGCTGACGGTAACAAATCTTTAATACTTAAACCTCGTAGACACGAGTTATAATTCTATAAAGGAGTGACAATGAAAACTCAAACGCTGCGTTTCCCGATCTGACAATCTATGATTACAATAATCGAACGTTGGTACCGTTAACTTGAAACTGAGTCACATTAACATTTACGCACTTACAGCTCGACAAGTTGTTGCAAATTCCGAAAGGCGTTCTCGCCGATGCTGCTTACGCTATTGTCCTCCATACTCCTGAATCATCGTTACGCCGTTAGCTCGCATGAATCTTATTAACAATGACAGCAATCGCTTCCGTAATCTACTTACGTACGTACAGTGATTTCAAAGCGGGGCATCCGGCGAATAGATCTTCCGTTATCGACTCGAAGTGGTTTCCGTCCAATATTCTGAAACGCAACTTCAGAAAATCAAACGTTCTACATTATCCATTTTCATTAAAAGCTTACATTTCCGTCAACGTCGGCAGTCGTGGTAACTTCAAAGCGGAAGTCGTCAACATGTTCTTACTCAGATTTCTATTTATAGATAGAAAAAAAAACAGATTTACATACGTTCACTTTCAATCAGTATTGGTAATTACGGACGATGCAATGCTGCTTCAAGAAACTAATTGTTTATAGCGATTCTTGTAAGTAAAAGAATGTATTGCTTTTCGAAAGAAGCAATATTGATGGATTTAAATAATACAATCAATAATAATTTTGTTTGTAATTTACTTTGCAATTTAAATAAATTTTATAATCGCAAATATAATTTAATTTATAATAAATGATATGATCCGATTGCTTAGGATTTGCATATTAATCGTTTCCCAATCAAGCTATCTCGAAATTATCACACGTATCAAGAAAGCAATTTCCAAACGGATTTACGTTTTCACAACGATGCTCCAGATTGATATACTGATAACATACAATAAAAAACAAGTGTAGATAATACAGATGGATTAGATTACTTGGAAATTAGGTTGATTTCAAACTTCAAACTATGACTCATATCTTCGAAATTTAAAAATAAGCACTATAACTAAACCAAATTTCAAATAACAATGTTAAATAATTTTGTGTAACAAGTTAAGAAAAAAGTATGTTAAATACAATGAATAAGAGGCAAATATTTATTTTATGATAAGCGAAAGTTAACAGATTGAGATCGTCCATAATTCTTCGTAATCTAATATAATAATAGAATAATTAAAATAATTCTATACTGAAATAGTTTACATCAAGTATGCAGTAGTGCTATTTTCCAGATCAGAAAAATCCGCCGTCACAATTTTATTTTGATCCAGTAGCAGAGTTTCTAATTTATCCAGTCCCGTTAGATGCCCTGGTAGAACTTCGCTGATGCTATTATTTGTGAGAATTCTGCACGCATAAGCGAGCTTTGTTTTATAGAAATATTTTTTTTTTAATATAAATGATGTAGTCTGCAGCATTTGTACTTACAACCAAAACAACTTAGATTGATGGAGGAAGGTTCCTTTTTCTAGTTCAATTATATTATTATTATCAAGATATCTGAAATTATAAAAAATTATAAAATTTTACAGAATTTCATTAAAGATTTTTATTTTGTTTATCTCGAAGCAGAAACATTACAACAAGAAAGACTTACAACAAGCGTATTTCCGGATATCTTGATAATGCATCGCGAGATAAATGTGTGAGCAAGTTGTCGGTTAGGAAACTGCAGAAATTGTACATCTACGTTATTAATAGTGTCTTGAGAACACACATTTAATTGATTTCAATCCTTAGCTCTACTGAAGAAATCAATTCAAGATCATTCTGAATCGCTGATATTAATTATCAAAATTATTAATCATTTATATATAAAATATAAAAATAACATATATAAAAATATAAAAATAATTATATAATTACAAAAATGACATTTTTCTACGAGACGTACATCGCTGTGACGTTCGATGACAAATTCTTAGGCACATCGGTATAATTTGCACAAGTCACACGACACGCGTTGTAGATGCATTTAACTGAAACATCAAATATATCTGCGACAAAAGATATAAAATTTTGTAAACATTGCAAATTTTATATATTTATCGTATTTATCATATTTTATGATATTACCGCAATTCTTCAAGTTTCCCCAGTCCCTTTCTTTCATGAACCAATCCCAATTACCATGCATGTCAACTGTATAATAAATTTATCAATTAGGGAAGCGAAATTATTTTTGAAAATCTAAAAATCAGGATAATCTTTCTCCTTCAAGTGTAATTACGATGAATAAAAATTAGTAAAATTACATAGCCAGGTATAAATTAAATTATTTAGCCACATGTGTGTATTGTTGAAGTTTATCGAATAACGAATGATCAATTCTTTGAGAGACTCGGCTGTATTATTGAAAATTGAACGAATTTTGTAGCTGGCTAAAGAATTGTAAGCAAATTCGCGTAAAAATTGAATGGATTTGTAGCAGAAACTGTAGTAAATATTAAAAATAAACGTAAGATTTAAAACACACACAGCAATTTTCCGTGGATTCATCGTCACTATGTGGACAATCCGGTACGCCATTACACCAGCTACGTTGCGGCATGCACGTAGTGCTGTTAAAGCACAAAAAAGTACCAACAGGACATTCGTCTAAAATTATTAATATATCGAAAATATATTAAGGTTCATCGATTTAATTTTTATATTTTGTTATTAAATTCTAATTTCTTCTTATAAAATTATGAGAATTATTATTTCTCGAAGCTATCACCGCACGTAACATGGTTTGTCACGAATGCAGACAATGACTATTTTACTATTATTATGACTTCATTTTGTGGAAACAATTTAATAATTTAACATTGTCAAGCTACAATTTGAAGGACGCATATTTATCTTGTAACAATGCACGTGTACGTGCTGAGGAATAGGAAACTGTTAAGTAGCTTGCACATTCGACGATGTTCACACTTACAATCTGTCTACAGAAAAAGTCATAGTCTACAGAAAAAGAAAGATATTGTTGCAAATGATACTTGAAGATTTAATATGCTTTAATTTTATAGCTGTAAAGCTCTTTTTTTCAATTTTTACTTTATGTAAATGAGATTCAAATATGAGAACATTTTTCGAATAAAAAATAATAATTTTTTTGTAATAATTTTCAAAAAAAAACATATATATATATATGACTTAGAGAATTGTATTCTTATAATTGTAAAATGTTTCTTTTTCTCCTTTAAAAATGATTGATTTTTATTAAAATGTTCCACAAAAATGAATAATAAAATTACAATTTTATAAGATTTTTTAGAGAAACAAAAATTAATAATGAGATAAAATAAATTAAAATATTTCACATATAATAATCGAATTAATAATATAATTACCTTGATTGTAATAATACATAAGTCCAGAAAGCAAGCAGAGCGTCGTAATTAGTGATACGCCGACAAAAACGATATGCTTATATCTCATGATGTTTCCTTATTATCTTTTTAAATCTGAATTATATCTAACTTCTTAAATACAATTATAATCGTAAAAAAAATTGTTTTAGGCGCGAGAAAATGTCTTTTATATTTGTATTACTATGTTAAAGAATTTTTCTTTTTATATCTGCCATGTAACTAACTAGCACTCAGGACACCAACTGTATGACACTGCTTGCATCCGTTTGGTCGTGATATAAGTTGCAATCGTATTGCACACGCGCTCTTCGTCGACATTGGAAAAGCTTTCCTTCCTAGTATTTCTTCCAATCTTTTTACCAATCTTCTTCCTCGCCCATAAGCATAGTAATGTGTAAATAACACTTAGCACAGAGTGCTTTAATTTAATTTCTTGCTTTAATTTAATTGCTTGTTCTATGTTTATTATGAATATAACATCTTGGTATCAATATATAATAATAATAATAATAAAAAAATAAAAAAGTATATTTATGTATTATTACCGAAAAATAAAAAAAAAGATTTATGAAAGATATTTATTTTATTATGCAAATATCTAAGCTTATATATTTTAATGTACTTTTAAAAGATAAATTTAAAAGGTAAACAAATTGTAATGTACATATCTATAATTAATATTAGATATAATTATATCAGTATAAAGATGCGAATGAACTTTTAGAAGCAGAATCCTGTTTACTGGAAAGCTCAATACTCTGTCACTAAGGTTCAATCGAAAGTGAAATATATCGCAATGTTATCTGTGGCTAAAACATCCCGCACTGTGCTTAAAATAAGACATAATGCAGCTCATCAGACATACAGATTTATTTACACCTGCATCGTTCAAAATTATTCACACGTTGAATTCACGCGAGCGATTCGCACCGTTGGCGAAATTTCGCACATCTCACGCGAGAACCACCGTGAAAACGTGCAATTAGTATTAATAAAAAAAGCGATATTGATTTCGAACTCGTCGGAGCGCTCAAAGTTTCCTCTTGCGCGGAAAGTTCGACCATTTCTTTATTCTGAGACAATTGTTCTCGCGCATCGAGACTCTTCAATTCCTCATTATTATTCCTCATTATCGCTTCTTCGAAGCTTTCGTACACTTTGAAATTATCCAGGCGACAAAAGCTGTAATTAGGAACGTACGTAGAAGTTTTCCTTTGGATTTCTTATTCTTTTCTACGAAACCGAAAGAGGGAGAAAAATTTTACTTCGCGAGTCGATCATTTCATTTCGTGATTTCCGATCAATTAGCATTTATCAAGCCATATTTTCCTGAAGAATCATGCGAATGGAATTATTTTATGGCAAACAAGTATTGCTTAGTATCTATGGCCAAAAAGTTACAATTTTCGATTTTTCTTCTACATCACTTA